CTCTCTTCTTGCCCCGTCACGCCTCTGTGATTACACAGCTGTCAGAAAGACGTGCTGTATGGGCTCGTGGTTTTCGCGGGATGGCGTTCGACAAACAAAGGAAAGGATATTCCAATGTCAGGATTCCGTGCGCCCCCCGGACGGATCGAAATATGGAGACGATCGACCTTTCTTCTACGAGCCCGATCATCGCGAATTGCCCGATCAAAACCTCCTCTGAAGCCTTCGGAGAGAGCTCTCAGCTCGGGCAATTCTTAATTATTAACCAAGGATCCCAGATGTTCGACGAAGATTTTCATTCGCGTTTCCTGGAGGTGAAGCGAGAGGCTGGAGATTCCCCGCTCGGAGTTGAGCCCAGCTCAATAGAGAATTGGGATCCGTCATAGATGAAAATTTGACGATTCAGTGAGCGAATTGCTCCTGAGTCGATCACGTTAGCAATTCCGTGGGGGATACACAGTGGAGGCTGTCGAAGCGAAACCCGGGAAGAGGATCAGTTGTACCACCACTACATCACCCGATGATATCCTTCTTTTGCTCTCAACGAGGGTGAGCAATCGGCGCGAAGTGAACCTGTTATCCAGATCTCATAGGAAGGGAAGGCGGTATTGAAATAATTTCGGGGCTCGTTGTTCGAAAAATACTACCTTACTGTCGAAGATGTCTGTCTGAGTATCAACTTTGACTTTGTGGCTGTTTTTCGTGTCCTAGTCCTACCTCTCTGATGAGTTGGAGGCTCCGCCGTGGGATCTCACAAGAAGGCAAATCTCATGTGCGACATCGGTCCAAGGCCAGATTCAAACAGTGGAAGCTTGCTCTATTTTAAAGAACGAGAAGTGTCTCAAGGCAGATATCTCATCAACAGCGACCTTTGTGTAAACAGTCAACAGAATCTCGGTCGGTGGCGCGAAAGCCCGCGATTAGTCCCGTTAGCCCCCGAAACGCGATCGGACCTGTCTGGACCGAGCATTCGCCCGGAATGCCTCGAAACAAATTGAAACCGGGCTGTAATAGATTCGTCCACGTAATAAAGGGAATTGCAACCGTTACAGATACGGATCACCGCTCGCCCTGCTCGGCGGATAATTTCTTCTGCTTATCAAACATCGAGCGACCTCGAGATTGAACTTTTTCCCTCCGACGGTCTCTGACGCAGTTCGGAAACGTGGGGATTAGTCTGGCGATAAATTCACAGCACGGATACCCTCGGGACTGCATTCCTCAAAGCCGCAACGGAGATTCCGCTCGATGGGGAATCGTGCAAAGCAATCACTCGAGGCTGGCGAGAGATGCATGAACTAAGGGGAGATATAATACGGCGATCATTCGAGATAGCGTCATGCTTATGGACAATTCACGGCTGTCCACGCCGAGATGCGTGACGAAGAGCTATCCCACCAGAAGCCGATGTGCGACCGATCGCGCAAACGCTGACGGATAATTCTGGATAGAGATCGCCTTCCGTTTCCCTCGGGCGAGCCGCACGGCTCCCGAGGTGACGTTATGATGAAATAGGTGAGCGGTTATCATGCAGGCGGCAAAGTTTGGCTCGATGCCTTAAAAAGTTGTTATTCTCGCAGGGGAAAACTGAACCCCTAAGCTTATTAACTCAGCACATCGGAAATTCCGCTTCCCGTTCACTCTTTCATTCCCCACAAAAATATGGGAAACCACGAGGGGCTGGAAACGATATCCTCCGGAGCTCGAATATGACGTTGAGCGAACGTTGGGCGGTTGCGGCGTTTGTATAAAACGTGCATCCCAGCGAGAAGGAGAACTTCTGGAACAAAGCTTACTCCTGTTTCCTGGCCGCTGCTTATCGACACGAATTTTCCCCCATAAATCATCATCGAGCGCGTCTCCTCTGCCGCCGTTCGTGAAATTGTTGATCTTTGGCACGTCGTAAACTTTTCGGAATCACCATCCATGAGATTGATTTGAGATACTACGGCAGAGTTCGTCTGTCCAATCCATTAGCTCGTTTTTTCCCCCGAGCCGTCCCAGCTATCATTACCTACTTCATTGTGCCTCGCTACTCGAGCGCTGAACGTCGCTCCCGAATTGGAGTATGTGGTGCAGAATGAGGCCGAGCTCAGAATAAACATTCTGTGTCGCGCCTACTCTTTCTGCCTGAGAACGCACCGCTCGACAGGGCAACCCCTAGAGGACTATACTCGGAAGCGAGCTCCAACAAAATAAAGGATTAGATTCGAAACAGGCTCCCGCCCGCCATGTGTGTCGGTGAAGCCTCAGCTGAACCGATGACAACATGGGTGTGAACGTGAGCGAACGGAAACGTGTTTATGGGCCGTCGCCCGAGAGGCCGCGACTCTCGACGGCATTCATGCATACGAGCTCTAGGGGCATAGGCCACGAGGGACGGATTCGTTTATTATTGCTGCTGCCGATGCCGTTCGCTTCCCCGGGAGACATTGTCAACCGTTGTCGATGTTACCGTCAAGGAGGCCTGCACCCGTGTCCGTGGCCGTTTCTCGTCTCCGATCTTTGAGTACAGACGGTGGCTTTTCTTTTACTCGCCGTCGGCAGTCGCTGATGTCTGTACGATTGGTACATATCAGTCCGCCGATGATGGGGGCCGCGTCTATGAGCGGAAACGGTGACATTCTTGGGGCTTCCCACAGCGTCCGTTCGGTAGTCTGACCAGACCGTCGTGACAGAAGCACCCGCTAACGCACATTTGTCTGCAGGGTCTGGGCCGCGGGTTCGCACAGTTGGGTGCACAGGATGTCCCGCATTGGGAATACACCTCGTCTGACTGCGCACAGGTCTCATCTGTCGCCGGGAGAAGGAAGAAAGCGGAAAAAACATAAAACACTTCAGAATCGTCGTTCATGAGAGCCAGACAAAAGGCTGGCAGCCACGACACCAACAACAATGCAGGACACGTTTGCGTGTCAAAATGTCCAGACAATCCAGAACGTTGTCGTGCATCATCAGTCAGTCGTCCAATACGTCGCCGGCAGCTGGCAGGCGAGCAGAAAGTCAGCCATGCAGCACTTACCTTCGTCTTCAACCTCGAAGACTTCCATTGCACAGCTCATCGAGCACAATAGAGCCACGGTAAACATCAGAATAGCTGCGGCCTGCTTCATCGTCGGGGCTGTGATAGTTGCGCGAGCGTCGATTGTGACCGAACTGCTAGAACGAGTATGATTGGCACTCGACTTTGTGAGCGATGATTGAAACTGACTTGCTAGGATTTGGCTCATTCACTTAATTCTCTCATTCTCGAGCGTGGGACCGCTTTGTCATCGCAAGGGAATCACAGCTGTCAATCAAAGCGGATGAAGTCGCATAAACTGATCGACGATGCGTTCCATTCGGATTGGGAATCGCTGACAATCAACTCGCGATTCCAAGGCAGCCGAGAGTTTCGAGGGAAAGTACAGCGAGCCAGTTCCTACTGTGATGCTCTTTCGCGATAAAATCTCAAGCTTTGTCCGATGGTCCATTTTTCTTTCGACACGGAAAGTGGAACTCTCCGTTCTTCAAGTCGAACTTCTGGACTCTACCTCGAGGATCGATTCTCGTCAGCTGAGATGAGCTGAACTATCCAGGGCGAAAAACACGCGAGAATCTCTTGGTCGGCGACGCGTACGTCGTGCTTGTCGGTCTACAGCGACCGGAATGGGCGCCGTGCGATAGGCGAAACCCGAGTACTAATGGGAAAAACAAATCAGGTTATATTACTCTGAATAGTAGGAGACGCCACTCTGTTCTTGCCCATTCATTCGTTCGTTCGTTCGCCCATTCATTCCGCCGACGATGGTACTTCAGCAGTTACCTCTGATTACTATATATGATGGTCTCCGCTGTCCACCCGCCCGTCTTTTGCGGTCCTTCTCCTATCGGTATTGTTTATAGACCTCGGAGGCTATTCCGTTCGAGTCCAATCGATCCGTGGGAGGGTACTCCGATCTTCGCGGGGCCGACCACAGATGATGTCCTCGCTGTACTCTCTCCCTCTCACTGTCGCATCTAGTTGTATTAATTCTTTGCTGTACTAATACTATCTCCGGGAGGTCCCAACGAATGGCCTCTGACTGTGAGTGACTTTCCACAGACCCGCTGTCGAGTCTCGGTGGATGATTGGACACGCTAACGACCGTGACCAGGGTGGGTCCTGCTCCACTTGTTCGCAGATGCGGCTCGTGCTCGACTTTGATCAGCGGAATTCGGAGGGCGATACCGTTGTGGAAAACCTCTGAGCTCTACCTCTCATCTGGAAGCAGCGGATGATTGACGTCAGAGTCGAGCCGGGATGAATTCTGACCAGGACATTCAATTCCATTCTAGCACCGCGTTCCTGGTTTCCAACAGATTGGTCGGGGTCGATCCAACGTCTTTTGAAGCCTCGACTTCCCTAGGAGCATAATTCGCGCGGTCTCCGCTTGAAGTTCCGAGTCTGTGGCACGAGAAATCGAATCTGCATAATACGCCAGTGTACTCGCTAAGATGTTTCCGAGGAGGCTCACGTACGCGGCTCGATAGACAAACTTGATCGGCATCCTGAAGCGATCGAGTCAAAGCTCGCTCCGGGATACCGAACACGTATGTAGTTCAGATTCTCGCGACACGTGACATGACCTGTAGCCTCCGGGGGAGCATACTAAAATCGCGCAAAAGCCAAAATCGCGCGCAGTGAAAATCGCGTAAAAGCGATTATCGCGCATGAACTAGAATCGCGCGGAACTAAAATCGCGCGACGATGAGAATCGCGCACTAAAATCGCGTACGTGCTAAAATCGCGCGGAACTAAAATCGCGGGACGATGAGAATCGCGCACTAAAATCGCGAACGTGCTAAAATCGACGCGGAACTAAATCGCGCGACGATGAGAATCGCGCACTGAAATCGCGCATGAACTAAAATCGCGCGAACTCCGAAGTCGCGCGAGAGACATGCACAGTTATTTGTCGCATGAATTTTATTTGGCTTTGAATTTCACAGCATAACTTCGGAGATGCATCGAACTGCATTTAGAAGTGAATGTTTCGAGTTATAGCGCGGATATAGCTCATCGCTTCTTTCTCTCCGAATTTTTCGGCTACTACCTTGAGGTTTTTCTCCACATCCTTGTAGCATCGTCGTTTTCGCGGTCGGTCGAAGCCTGCATCCAGCTGATCACAGCGGAGCTTCGTGATGCTGTTGTCCTTCTTTATCGCTTCGATGAATTTCCAAATAGATGGATTACAGCACATGATAAGAGAGTCGAATCCTCTATGCCAAGCTTCTACAGCATTGTTTGTCCTCGGAAGATCTGATTGGAGACTACCGTAACAATTCCAGAGTTCTTCGACGAATATAGGTCGTTTTTGGTCATTCGCGGTACGACTCCCTACCCAAGTTTTACGGAAATATTGCAGGAGTTCGTCCAATTCACTCACGTTATCAATGAAAAATTTTGAATTGATCAAGATCTCGAAATATTCATACACTCGCTCAGTCGGGACAAAGGCTAGAGCCATCAGCTGCTTGATGTTGAAAGAATAATTCGCGTCCGATCGATATTTTTTGCATACCGCAGGAATGCTCTGTATGCGCCGCCAAACAGATTGACAGAAATGGTAGTAGCACCCGTGTATATCAACCTCGGGAAAAATCTCAGAAAAAGCCTGAATATAGGCAATTTCGAAGTCGACCATCGCGAATCTCACTCCACAGTCGTCTCCGACAAGATTCTTCACAATTTCCAACAAGCGGAGGTAGCTCCTCTTTTGTTTGGAGGTCAGGAGACAATACAGTGCGACGTAACAGAAGTCGTTTTCGATTACATTGAAGGTGTATAGCTGATAGAAGAGTTGAGGAGCCGTTCTGAATGTACCATCCATGAGCCAAAGATTGTTTCGTTTTAAAGCTTGCAGACATTCTTGCGAGCCGAACACGATGATGCGGTCGTTAGTCGCGTTAGGCCCATCGTCGTGGAGGAGGAAATCGTTTCCTTCGTGATCGACCTTATATTCGTCGGGAATTTCGAGGGACAGCATTGATCGAGGATTCTGAAGATTTTCGTTCTTCCTAACATAATTCACGGTTCGTTTCATTTGATGCACCGGTGGAAGGGATGAAGAGGTTCCTGGTGCCATTTCTGACAGTCGCTGGGAAACCAACTGGCAGGGGTTGCCGAAGGATTTTTTTGCGTCTTCTCTGATATTTTGCAGAGTTTTACGCTTCTCGACATCACCGTAATTAGGAGCATGACTGTGTTCTTGCCTCAGAGTATGTGATCCATCTCCGTGCTTCCACAAGCGTCCCTTGCAAGACTTTGCTTTCTCTTCGACACATCGCCAAGTTGATTTGTCCGTCGATTGTCTTTCGAAACGGTACACGTAACCTTCATGTTCCAGCGTTCAAAGCCATTTTTTCTCCCGCGCGATTCTTGTTTTTGCGCGATTTTAGTTCCGCGCGATTTTAGCATGTACGCGATTTTAGTGCGCGATTTCTGAATTTGCGCGATTTTAGTTCCGCGCGATTTTAGGACGTACGCGATTTTAGTGCGCGATTCTCATGTTCCCGCGATTTTAGTTCCGCGTGATTTTTGTTTTTGCGCGATTTTAGTACGCGATTTTCGACTTTGCGCGATTTTAGTGTTTGCGCGATTTTTCATCGTTGCGCGATTTTAGTGTTTGCGCAATTTTAGTATAGACCCAGCCTCCGGTGTGACATACAGCGACGCTGTTTCGAGTGCAGAGAGATAGAATCGTTGAGCTCAATCGCTGCCGGTCGGTCGCAAACGCATCGATCGTCCTCCAATCATTTTCCGAGTTGAGCGGTCAGTCAAAATACGCACGTAAATGCGTCAATTCGCAGTCTCTGATCTTCACTTCGCGGATTCAGGCCCAGGACAGGGAACTCTCCCGATATCAATTATGTTCTTCCTTAGGTAACTGATCCATCAGATGAATCGAGTTACGTCTCTTGAGAATAGAAAGGCTGCTCATAGTCTGCCGAGCTTCCTCCTGTGAGGTCAGCTGCAAGGCCGGCTTCTTTCCCTTCCTTCCGAGACTAGATATAACGGTCTGTGTCGCCGGGTAATCAATTCAGTCCACACTGAGGTTTCGCCGGGATGGCGGCCGATTCTCTTACCTCCGTGGGGTTCGCCCTCGATGGCACTAAGCCGGTGGATACGATGCGGGCATCTGGAACTGCTTAGGACAATCGACTTCGGTACGAGAATGTCATTGGCTGCCCAGCCACATTGCCTATACAGCGGGAAAACTCCTTGATGATAAATCAGAGAGATAAATGATGACGAAGAAAAATTGGCAGATATCATGTTTCCGGTCACGACCCGTTCGCGGAGCCTACGCATGATATGACGAGCACCGCTCCGAGCGACGGAGCAAGCATGCTATCTCGGCAATCGTATATTCAATCATATGGCTCTAGAGATTGCCCGAGGAGCCTCTGGAGCCGAAGTACATCCGGGCCGTGACTCGCGCAGCCCATACGATCTGGATGACATACGTAATGTTTAAGTTCACCTAATTCTTTCATTGTCGAGGTCGAGGAAACCAGAGCGGAAAGCGTGAAATGGTTCTGTGTGTCCGTCTCACGCTTCCACGGAAGCTTCGTCGAAACACGAGAACTTTCTTCGTCAGTATACCTCCTCGCACTCAGGAAACTCGGGGAATCGAAGAGCAGCCCGTGGAATAAACCATTCATCGAGACTCTAGGTCCAGCTGCGGCAATTGTTTCCTAATACTCTTCCGTGATATCGAGAGATTGGGGAAGGAGGAGGAGGAGGTTATTAGAGAGTCCTCTTGGAGGAACAACGCTACCACCCGGATCTCGGAATATCTATGCGGTGAGGGAACTCTGTCTTCACAAGTACTCGTGCGATTCTTCTTCACCGGATGAATTCCTCGCAAGCGTTGCTCGGCCTAAGTTGAGAATACATCAGAGAGGTTCGAAATCCGAAGATGACGCTATCTGCCTAAGTCTCCCGCCCACGCTCGATATTCTTTTATCGACTGGTTCGGGATAGCGTGTCGTGATCGCATGCTCGGTCGGAGCGGATCGCTCCAAGCCGATTGTCGAGCCCCCACAAACTCGATGCACTAGAGAGCAGGAGCCGGAATGCTCTTTATTGAGGACGTTCCGGAGGAGAGGGGAACATCCGCCTAGACGGTCTCCTGCTCTCCAGAGTCTGATCAAGTCAATATCTGGACGACCTAATTAGTCAGAAGAGCTTGATTATTGAGGGCTGGCGATTCTTTCTCTTCTCTTATTCTCTATCAAGGCTCGCCACACGACGCCGAGCACCCGTCGAGAGAGTTCCCTATTTCGTTCGTTCATCCGAGGGAGATCGCCGACATGCTCATTCAGCAGAGACAGGCGTAGCACACGTTATTGGTTACCACCTTCGTTGCCTTGATGGTCTTCGGCTTCACCTGACGGAGCACAGCTCGTATACTCCGATCACAGCGGGAGTCTGGTAGAGCTGAAAGGTTTTGTCCGAATTGAACGAAGATGAAACGTTCTGTCCCAAAGTGACTGGGGAGTTTTTGGACTCGCCGTTCGCCAATCGCCCTGATTATAGGCGTCTGGTGGGCAAAAACACCGGAAAAGTTGTTTGAAGTTCGTTTAGCCGGTCGGTTGCTCGCTCGCTCGATGGGCCATCCCTCTCCGCCTCGTTTCGCTAGTTCGCGGTCTCGGGCACAGACAGAGTAAAAACTCTGTGCGCGAAAGTTTATTATGGCTCGTGACTTTGGCTGAAGTCAGGTGGCGCGCATCGCTACGCCCTCGCCAGCCGATCGCGTCGCAAAAATGTCGACGATTGCTTATTTTGCCAGCTGCCGTGGGCGTGCAAATTCCGACCTCAAACAAAGTCGCACATCCCGTCAAGCGCACTCGGAACCCGGTCCGTGGAGCGGTTGAGGCTTTGTGGAGCGCCGATTACCGGAGCAGCAGCAGCCGCATTAGCGGAGCAGTGGCTGTTGATGATTCACCGCCCCTGGAGTACAAG